AGAAGATAAACAACAACCTACTAATCTAGATTATTCTATATCTAGATTATAGACGGGTGTTTCTATCCAACTCCAAAAATACTGAAATATCCAAAAACGCTATGCTCAAAAGTATCAAGGCTGAAACTACAAGGAGCCTTTCACGAACCAACACTCCTCTCAACCCTTTTGAGCCCCGACGCTAAAAGAACCTGATAAACAAGGTACAAATTGAAGAAGTGTTAGGTTTACGCCTAGTGAGTTCGAACAATGAGGTAATAAGTCTATAAAAACCATTATATGAAAAATATGCACGTACGTAATTTTAACGATACAAGGTGGACAATTGGTCCTAAATAATTCAAGATGRAGCCAAGATGTTCAAAGATGACGGGGGAGACCCGATTTACCATTAATTATGACGGAACACAAAGTAAGTCATAGATCAACTTTATAGAGTATCACTTACCGGTATAAAACCATCGACATCAACCTAAACCAGTCATGTAGTCGGTCGTGATCATAAGCTCTTTATCTCGGAAATTACATAATAATCACAATGCCTATTTCCAAGTAGGTGAGAAGATGGTTGAGAAATTATATAGTAATCACAATGCCTATTTCCAACTTACACCATCCTTCACGTAAATATAAACAAAACGACCTCCGAGCCTACATCTCATTTCGTTTTAATAATATACTCAAAAGCATTTACGTRGAGGTGTTAACACATRCACTTCGCCCATAATTTGTACGAGTTCCAAGTCAAACGATACCTTCCCATTTACCGATATATTAACCCCAAAGGTGGATCATAGTGTTTCTAGAGTTTCATGCACCATATTTTGAAATAGGTATTTTATCAAGTGGCTAGGTCCGTTATTCTAAGACTCAASTAGCGTTCATAAACAAAACTCCCAAAGTCGTTCGTTTATCAAAGGTTCCATCTAAATTCCAAAAGGCAAWTAATTAACAKATTTAATATAAGATAAGTATAGCATATCGTTCCATTTCGTATAAAGCTTCAAATAGTTTAGTAGGAACTTACCTAGGAGGATTTAGAGAAAATCCCAAAAATCCGAAACAAATAGGCAGCTGGAAGGAAAGCCC